TTCATCGTTTGATTTTCGTTAACAGCTGACGAAGCAATAAGGCTTGACCAGAATTGGTAAAACCATGTCAGTCTGCCGTTTCTGAACATGTAACGTCGTTGTGTGGTTCGGTACCGAAGAATTTAGCTTCGAACTTCAGATGTGCTTAGTTCAGTTCTGGTGGAGGGTAATCTTTGTCATAGCTGCGAATTCCCTTGAGCAAGGAAATTGCCATAAGTTGCTTAGACCACGGCTGCTCAGTTGGTAGGGCGTCATGTGCAGAACCAAGATCTCCCGGGGTCGAGCCCCGCTCAGGTCATATGCCGTTTCTCCTTCTTAGATTGATATATGAGTAGAACTCTATTCGAAGGAAACAGTAGACTACACACTGTACTTACTACATGGTTACTGCCGGCTCTGCCTTGAATATATGGATTTGGCTGGTAACATGGAAATGGACGTGAGCGTCCCACCATGAACTTCACTAAATTAAGGGGGCTTGAAAGGGCTCCATCACGAAAGTGTAAGGAAGACCGATATTCTAACGACTACCGTTTTTTACTTCGTTTTTATATGATATGTCTTTTGATGATACAAAAAGTAGCCGTTTTTCTCGTGGTCAGAACTTCTTATCCTCAGCATACGTTTTTTGTAGGCCACTTATTCGTCGACATTCATATAGGTTTATGAGAACAGCCATTTCTAGTCATTACTGTTAAACTGGCCTGAGCGCAAGAAGTTAGTAATGCAGCGTCGTTCTTTTTGTGACTTCGTTTCTAGCCCAGATACTATAAAGACTTTTGAAAGTAGACGGACCCAGCCCATCCCTCTTGTTTAAGTTCTGATCACAGGTACTACTGTTTGAGAGGTGCCGGCGTGTTTAACTGCGTAATGCCGAGATTCAGATCGAATTGTGGACTAGATGCCTCAAGTACATCGAAGACCTCGCGTTGTCGCGCTTTGTAACCAGATTATCGACCTCGTCCATTTGATGGCGAATTGGTGTCAGTGGCTCTATTGAATCAGCTGCCTTAGAGATTTCGAAAGGATCAGCAGACTTTGAAGGTGAGTGAGTGGATGGTATGATTATCCTGTTTGGTCATGCCAGCTTGTAGTCCGGCAATTCTTATTCACATTGAATATGGGTCTTCGTTCAGAGATAAGCTAGATCAGGGCTGTTCAGTCGGTGGAACGTCACATTCAAAACTGAGAAAGCCTGGGTTATAGCCTCGAGCAGGTCACTCGTCTTTACTCCTTTCGAAGCCGATTAATTAGTGCCTGTCTGTGGGAAGAAAACAAGAAGCACCGTGATTGCCACAAATGTGATATCGACTCAGCCTTTAAAATAAGTCATTTGTTGCTGATGGCATGGAAATGGAAATCAGCCGCCCACCATTGACTTCATGAAAAGAAGTGGTCCAGTCATGAAAGTGCAGAGAAGACCGTATTTCTAACGGTTAAAATGTTTTCTTTCACTTTCTGTTTATTAATCTCATGATTAGAAGCACAAGAAACATTCTGCTTTTACACAGACCTGACGTCTCAACTGAATTGGCATCGGTCTTCATCACAAGTTACTGATGCCGACAGACTCAAAACGTCGTACCTGTGTTAACTTAAAACATTGTTTCATTTCTTTCGTTTTGTTAACCATGGAGTCGTAGTAGGCAGTATCCGTTTTCAGTCATCCACGGCTCAGAATCAGTATGAGTTTTAACATCGCTAAAGTTGTTAACACAGCTTAATGACAAGTGACTTCGATGACTTGCATCTTCAAGACTGAATGTTGCAACATTCATGGCTACTTATAGTGGCATTACTTTGAGTCTTTTCTGCAGGCGGTCTTGCATTATTGCTTTCGATGGCTCACACTCTACCGAGGTAGGAGTGGGAGGGAAGAAGTGCGGATTCTAATGAAATCAGCCAACTTCGTTCTGCTTGAAAGTTTCTTTGCCTTCGGCGACCTGCCCAAGAAGTTGACGATGACAAGTTTTGTTTCGCTAAGTGATGTCCTCTGAATCACAAGTGCGGAGGCCGTCGCAGCGACACGTGACTCTGGC